GGATGAACACAGCAGGCCAAGCAGCATCATAGGATGCTGCTTGGCCTGCTGTGTTCATCCAGCCCTGCACCTTGTTGTCTCGGATTCTCCAGCATCTGCAGTTCCTACTATCTCTGAGTTGATAACCATCTGGCTAGGAAGGTGAATAGCTGTTAATGGAGACTGTTAGTGACTAACAATAGGTTGTGTGTAGTGGCAGGCTATGTGACAACAAGAACAAAAAACAAGTTGCTGGAAATGCTCAGCAGGTCTGGCAGCATCTGTGAAGAAAACATCAGAGTTAACGTTTTAGGTCCAGTGACCCTTCCTCAGGACAGTTCCCTGGCCAACATCTCTGTCTCTATCCCCACCTATTGTTTACTCCTTACCCACTCCCCGCACCCTATCTTCTGCATTTCAACTGACGTTTTCCCAGCTACCATCAGTTCTGAGGGAGGGTCACTGGACCCGAAATGATAACGGATTTTTTTCTTCACAGATGCTGCCAGACCTGCTGAGCTTTACCAGCAACTTCTGTTTTTGTTCCCAATTTGCAGCATCTGCAGTTATTTCGGTTTTTATGTGATACAAGGCCTGGTGTGTAGTGTAGGGGGCTGGGACATGGGAGAGTTCAGGTCCTAAAATTATTGAACTGATATTGAGTCCAGAGGACTGCAGAGTCCCCAAGCGGAAAATGAGGTGTTGGTCTTTCAGCTTGTGCTGAACTTCACTGGAACACTGTAGCAAGCCAGGGACAGAGATGTTGGCCAGGGAACAGGGTGGTGTTTTAAAGTGGCAGGCAACAGGTAGTTCAGGGTCTTTTTTGCAAGTAGAATGTTGGTGTTCTGCAAAGCAGTCACCCAGTCTACGCTTTGCTTTCCCAATGTAGAGGAGACCACACTGTGAGCAGTGAATGAAGTAGACTAGATTGTGGGAAGTGCAGGTGAAATGTACTGGGATACTGGGGAGGGAGGAGGTAAACGGGAAGGTTTTACACCTTCGCCAGTTACAGGGGAAGGTGCCGTGAGGCTGTGGCGGGATTGTTGGGGGTGAAGAAAGTGTGGACCAGGGTGTCCCAGAGGGAACGGTCCCTGCGGAAGGCAGGCAAGGGAGGGGAGGGGAATGGGTGTCTGGTGGTGGCATCTCATTGGAAGTGGCAGAAATGGCATCTGATGATCTTCTGGATGTGGATGCTGGTGGGATGGTAGGTAAGGACAAGGGGAACCCTATTGCTGTTGTGGGAGGGAAGAGAAGGGGTGAAGACAGAAGTGCAGGAAGGGCCCTGTTGACAACAGTACTGGGGAATCCTCGGTTGAGGAAGGTGGTGGACATTTTGGAGGCTCCCTTGTCAAAGTTGGCCTCATTGGAACATATGCAATGGAGATGGAGGAACTGGGAGAACGGAATGGAGTCTTTACAAAAAGCAGGGTGCGAGGATGTATAGTCCAGGTAACCCAGAATCTAGTGTACTGCATTCGCTGCTCACAATGTGGTCTCCTCTACGACTGGGTGACCGCTTCCCAGAATATCTACGTTCTGCTCACAAAAAAGATCCTGAACTTCCAGTTGCCTGCCACTTTAACGCACCACCCTGTTCCCTGGACAACATCTCTGTCTCTGGCTTGCTGCAGTGTTCCAGTGAAGCTCAATGCAAGCTGGAAGAACAATACCTTATTTTCCACGTAGGGACCCTGCAGTTCTCTGGACTCAATATTGAATTCAATAATTTTAGGGCTTAAACTATACCATGTCCCAGCCCCCCAGTCCACACACCAGGCCTTGTTATCACAGCCTGCCATCACACACCCCCTGTTGTTAGTTACTAATAGTCTCGATGAACAACTATTCACCCTCCCAGCCAGATCATTATCAACTCCTTTGTCTGTCCAACTGTCCTTCTCTCTCTTTGGGCTCTATCCTCATCTCTCATTTACTCCTTACCCGCTATCTTCTCATATAAACCGACATTTTCTCAGCTACCATCAGTTCAGAGGAAGGGTCACTGGACCCGAAATGTTAACTCTGATTTCTCTTCACAGATGCTGCCAGACCTGCTGAGCTTTTCCAGCAACTTCTGTTTGTGCTCCTGATTTACAGCATCTGCAGTTCTTTCTGTTTTTATGAATGGAAAGGAGGTTTGGACCATTGACTGTGTCAAGAAGGCAGTGCACCCTGACCCCTCCCGTTAGTGAGGGGTAGGCTATAAACGCTAGCCTTCAATGGGACACCCTCAGCCTCTGAAGGAGATATTTGCCAACAGCGCAAGTTAAATTTGAACTGAATCAAACAAACAGTCAGTGTCACTGCTTGGAATTTCACACAAGGGCAAATGGAGATGCCCCTTGCCCCTTGTGCCCCAGAACCCGCTTCCCTCCCCAAAATCTGGGCACTGTTCTAAACAGACTAGCTGGGTAGAGGTTTTCTGGGAGGCTGTCACAGCTTTATAATGGCAACTGCCTTCCAGACAAACTTTGGATTATTGTTCTGCGCTAACCCAGACACTGAATTTGACCAAGCTTGTAACCATACAACACTCTCGTGGGTAAAAGACACAACACAGATTTCTCTTTCCCCCAAGCAAAGAAAACAATGTGAGAAGTAAACTAGAAACGGAACCTGTAGCTGATGTAGCCGTGGCAGTGACTAACCCCTGGACAGCTGGAACCGAAGGCTCAGTGTCTGAACAGATATCCACAGGAGACAGCTCTCTGTCTGCACCATGGTGAAGATCCGTACTGGAGGTCCCCTCATTTGACTGGAGGCTACAAACTGGAACAGGGCGCGAGGAAGCTTCGTTGCAGGTTGGGGAGAAGCTGCTGCTGAGTGGTAGTGAGACTGGAGGGGTGACAGGCTGGGGGGTCCAAGGTCTGGATTCTGGAGATGGTGAGGAAGTGTCAGTGGTTGGGAGAGAAGGAGAATCGAGACCAGAATCTTCCACCGTTTCGAGTGCACTGGAGCTGGTCGGAGCGCTCAGTGGCAGAGGATTCACATCGACTTGGTGACACTGGGCTGGGAAAAGGAGGAAAGACTTTCAGTGACAGCGCTGGCATCGCAAAACGAACATTAACAAAGGCCACTCCATCCAGCACCTTAAACACTTCCTCCCTCCATCTGTCATCATCAATTCCCAACGGCAACAATGTGCACCACCACGGGCGCTGTGCCAGTGACATGGTAAACTTGTAATACCCAGAGGCCCCAAGTTGCTGTGCTGGGGTCACAGGTTCAAATCCCATTAAAGCAGCTGGTGGACTTCAATTCAAATTAACTCATGAACATCTGGAATTGAAGTTAATGATGACTGTGAAACCATCATCAGTTGTTGTAAAAACCCATCTGTTTCACTTACGTCCTTTAGGGTAGGAAACTGCCATTTTTACCTGGTCTGGCATCCATGTGACTCCAGACTCACAGCAATATGGTTGACTTTGAACTGCCTTCTGAAGGTGACCCAGTAAGCCACTCAGTTCAAAAGATGGGAAACAAATGCTGGCCTTGCCAGTGATTCCCACACACTGTGAAAGGAATACAAGACTCTTCCTGATGCATTGCAGTGACTCTCCAAGGCTTCATTGACAGCACCTTTCTGACATCTATCATTTACAAGGACAAGGGCAGCAGATACATGTGAACACCACCCTCTGCTAGTTCCCCTCCAAGCCACTCACCATCCTGATTTGGAAATATATCACCTTTACTTCAGTGTCGCTGGAAAATCCTGGAATTCCTTCCCCAGGGGCATTGTGGGCCTCCCTACAGAACATGGACTGCAGCGGTTCAAGAAGGCAGCTCACCTCCACCTTCTCAAGGGGCAACTAGGGACGGGCAATAAATGTCAGCACATCTAGATTCCAAAAATGAATCTTTGCAGTTATCCGAATTTCTGTTAACTACCCAAAAAGGTTAAATCACCCCGGCCCTAAATTATAATAAGCTCCTCTACATTGTTCTGAATTCAACTAGATTTAACAGCTTTGGAGTTCCTAATGCAGCTCACAAATTGCAAATGCCCTCTTTCCGGTGACAGGAGCATCTACAAGACTAAACTTTGAACCAACTCATCCATGTCACATATTGACATGTGTATATTCCAGAGAATTAGTACTGGAAAAATATTTTCGGGGAGAAAATCAAAATTGAATCAGTACGAAAAATAAAACTGATGAATATTTGAAATTCATTGTATTATCTGTAAAACAGTAAATGACATTGAAAAACCAGGGCTGATAGCAAACTGCCATTGGGAAGATGGTATAAATGATTGTTAGTATTTCAGACTATCTCACTGGGATAAAACATCTTTCATAATGCCACCCTTTCCATCTTGCACTCCAGCAACAAGACAGATGCTGGCAGCATCTTATACTAAAAAAAATCTCTGTCCTATTTCTTTTAAGAGTAAAGAGAAATGAAATGATCGAACAGCTTTCTGTGCTCGAACGAGAGTAGATTTCTACTGAACACTTCTGCTCTTCCCTGGGTGAGTGTTGTGAAGATCATGTTGGATTTACAGGTAGTTTAACAACCTGACAGCTGTGAACACACCTTCCACGGCCCACCCCTGTGGCTAACTTTCATGGCCAATATAAGGATTTGGTCAGGACAGCATGAGGTCTCCAGGCTATGAAGCAGGCATGAGAATTGCATTGGCAGAACTCCCAGCTGGATCTGTGATCTCCATTTGTTGGGTTGCCTGGAGTCAGTTCCAGACCCAGAGTTCCCTGACCCAGAGTGAGGAAAACTAGCATTAGCTCAGCTGGTTTGTAATGGACAGTGACAACAATGATGTGGGTTCATTCCTGCACCAACTGAGGTTACAATTAAGGAATTTCCTTTTCAACTTGAGGTGTAGTGACCCTCTGGTTAAACCACCACCAGTCACCTCTCTGATCAGGGAGCAGCCCTATGGTCTGGTAAAACTATGGTGACTTTCCAATCGGCAGGATAAAAAAAATAAAAAACGACCACACAAAAAAGGATGCTATTTATTAATTCAGATTAAATATGTGGGCGAAATAGAATCTGATAAACATGAAAATGGTGTAAAGTAGGATCTTGGAACTTCCAGTTTTACACAAAGTCCCACAGAGGCATGGCTATGTTGTAATCACAGAAACAGGATCCAAATGCAGACCTCGGTGTTTCATACAAGATTCTGAAGGGGCTTGACAGGGCAGAGATTGGGAAGAGATTCTCATTAGTCGGGGAAATCACTAATTAGGGGACAGGGTTACAGAATAAGGGGACACTCATTTCAAACTGAGACCTGATTTTTTTTTCTCCCAGAGGGTAGTGAATTTCTGGAATTCTCTGGCCCAGACAGAAGTGGAGGCTCGATCACAGACAGTGTTTAAAGAAGAAATAGATTTTAGAAGTTGAAGGCTATCAGGAGCTGCCATAAAAGAATCAAGGCCTGAGGGAGATCAACCAAGATCTTATAGAATGGGTGAGGCAGGTTAGAGGGGCTGAATGGCCTACTCCTGCTGTCATGTGCTTTCACCCCCTCTTCATTGCCTCCAATCAGCATCTCCTCTATCCCTTCCTCCTTCTTTGCTTGTCCACCTTCTGCTGAATTATATCGATACGATTCCTTCCCGTGGTGGGCAGTGCCCTAACAGTTGCATGAATGTGGAAATGAAGGTTTTCTTGAATTCCTGATGGATTTATTAGCGATTCCCTTATATCGACGGCCATTCATTCCAGTCTCACCCATAAACGGGAAACATCTCAAAGTCAAAATGAACAGGAGGCAGGGAGAGTGAGCGAGAGGCACAAAATAAGCCAATTTCACTACCTCCAAGTTCTTGTTTCTCAAACATAGCATCCAGCGGTGGCCCAAATAGTGGATCCAGAAAGCTGACACCATTCTGTGAGGCAAGGGTCCTGCCAGAAGAGAATGGGGAAGGGGAGATAACACAACAATAAAAAAAAAAAAATCACAGTTAATAGGATCAGGCCATTTGTGAATACAGAAACAAAATGACAGTCTGAAACATCAGGGGTTACAGTTGGTAGAAAGCCATCTAAGGCAGAGAATCCCTGAGACCACAGACCATTAGACATCAGAACAGAAGTAGGCCATTCAGCCCATTGACTCTGCTCCACCATTCAATGAGATCGTGGCTGATCTGATATTCCTCACCTCCACATTCCTGCCTTTTCCCCATAACCTTTCATTCCCTCACCGATTGAAAATCGGTCTATCTCAGCCCTGAATATATTTAATAACCCACCCTTGACAGCCCTCTGGCAGTAGAGAATTCCATAAATTCATTACACTCAGGAGGAAATTCCTCCTCATCTCCATCCTTCAAAATGCCAACTCCTCATTCCAAGATGACATTCCTGGTCCTAGGCTCTCCCATAATGGGGAGTCGGGTTACCATCTCTGCAGGACTGTCCTGGAGGGGCCAGGAACAAAGATGAAATTGTCAGGACATTGCTGAGAGCAAACCTGGGAGAAGATTCCCAGGACAGGTGACGAGTATGAATTGCAGTCCTGAAACCAAATTCTCAATATGAAGGTGCAGGAATGAAACTCCAAGAACATCCCCAAATCCCCTGGTGGGTCCCTCCCAGCGAAGGCCTGATGAGCATAGGTCAGATCACATACCTGCTGGACTCGGAGCCTGGGCTGCTGCATTGGAACATAGCTGCCTCTACATTTGGAGCAAACACAGAAATCAGAGTCATCACGTGAACAAAGAATAAGTTTGTGTCAAGATCAAGACCAGGGAGCAACAAAATTATATTTAATTGGGCTCACTAATGCATGCCAATCCAAGTTTCCTGAGGAGGCCCCTGTACAGAACTCAGACTTTCTAGTGAGTTTTTGGAGAGCTGAAGTAGTTGACATGCAGAGCAGACGTGTGCAGAGATGAACTGAAGTAGGAACTGTATATGCACTGTCACTATTGAACACTACAAAATCCATACAAGAACATTTATTCATACATGTTTTAAATGAAGGGACTTTTCATCAACTGCTTTGTCAGAGGGTGATAATAGGAGCTTGTGGATAAAAAATGAGGAACTGAGATTTGCTGTAACACGTCATTAGGGAACATGTTAACTCTTTCGCACTGGTGCAGTTTCATCAGAAATCAAGTTGAGTTTGGGAAGGAACAGTCACACATGGTCAGTAGCTACCAGACAAAGGCCGAATGATCCAGGGAACTAAATGGAGATCTTGAAACTGGTTCCAGTTACAGGCACTTTGTGAAATAGTTGATTGTTGCAGCAAAACCAGCTGGAAAGTTGGCAGCTATCAGCAGTTGTGACAGCTGCATTAACACACATCAATAGAGTTTCCGAAATGTCACCTTACCTCTAGTGGGAATACCCTGGGGGTTCCCTTCCACGGCAAGTGGAGCCAATTGGATTGAGTGCCCTATAGGAGAGAGCCAGCAATAAAATGGACATTAGAGCAGTGAGCAAAGACAGTGCCAGATAAAAATGCAGTAAGAAACATTCTAATGTAAGCAGAGACTGCTGCCTTTAGGATTAGACGTAGCAACACCAAGAATGATCGCTCTTCAAAGACTATTAACACAACAATAAAACTCCTCTGTCTGGCTTCTCTTCCCAGACATAACTGAGCCCAACTCTATCCCTTAGCTCACATGGTTGTTGGCCATCCCAAATCCTGGGCCTCACTTTGTCCTTTCCCCATGACACAGAGTTAAACACACATTAACTGCACAGAGCTATACAGCATGGGAGGCCATTTGGCCCACCTTCCCATGCCAGCTCTTTCAAAGAGCTTTCTAATTATTCTCACTCCTCTGCAATTCCTCCCCTTCATAACAGACAATTCAATCTCAGCGGTGAAAGACGTTTGGATGGATGGACAGACAGACACTTACGTGTGGAATTCCTTTTGGATGGAATCTGCAAAAGAACAGGAAGCAGAGGGTGAATGCATTTATTACTTTGGACATTTCTACAGTAAGTGCCAGATTTTGAGATTCTCCCTCCCACCTCTCAGGAATTCCTGGTGAAGATTGTTCCAATTGGTTGAGGAAAGTTACCAACCACCAGCGAGTGGAGCAAATTAGGAAATCTATGCTTCCCAACAGGCACTGCCTCTCCTGGGCAGGCTGCCCTGGGAATAGACTCTCTCCCTCATGGGAGGGTGACCTTGGATGTTGTGACCAAGGCCCATTCCTCCCCCAAAAGCAATCACTTAAACATAAATAAAATCACTGGCTACTTCTGCTCAGACTTGACCCATTTAATATAAACTTGCAGCTTGCTTCAGGATGTTGTGCTTGTATCACCAACTCCCTGCCCTCATTAAGCCCACCTCCCAGCCTCAAAACTCCTGCCCCACCTCGCTGACCCCTCCCCCGAGTTACCACTGCATGTGATTGGCTGCCATGGCCTCTCCTTCCCAAACGGAGATGGTCAGATGCTTACAGTGGGATTGGAGGAGAGGACGATATTCCCAATCGAGGCCCTCAGCTGCTCCACTGATGTGGCTTGGTCAGAGGCCCAGTCTTTCACTGTCACCGGCTTGATCTCCACATGGAACTTCCGGGGTTCATCATCATCGAAGTCCGAGTCACTGGAGGAGCAGGGCTGGGTCTCCCTCTCATGTTCGGAAAGTCAAGGAAGTCTCATTGGAACTGGGCAAGAGGTGGGACAACAACTCCAGGGTGGGTCAGTTAAAGCAGACAGGGCGTACCAACATCACCAACTCCCTGCCAGCCTCTTTCACTGTTTCTTTTGTTAATCCCCCTGTTCCTTGGCATTGCTCCCAGCAATGAACATCAGCTCTTTGCCAAAGTCAAAGTCAGTCTCTATTGGACACTGTCTGACTCTCAAAGACAACCTTTCAATACTTTCCTCAAAATCAGGGGGCTTACTGGCTGCCATCCAACTGGAGGATGCAGGACATGTTTGTTTGGAGAGGGGGGAGTTGGCAGTGGAGGGGAGGCCTTGGGCAGTTGGCAGTGAAGGTTTACAATCATTGGCCCAGGTACCACCATGCTGGTAACTACATTCCTACATTTCTGGAGCGACCATTGAGGGCTTGCAGCCTCCGCGCTGCCCCATTACCTCCTGGGTTACCAGTCACCAGAGACATCCTATTCAATCCTGCCAACACTCCCCTGGGACTTCCAGGTTCAGCTTGGACTCTGTCAGCAACCTGGTGTTGGGGTCTGAAGGCTCAGGGATCAAGCCCCCACTTTATACATGGGCACAAACTCTTGGCTGACCCTGCAGTGAAGGGGCTGCACTGCCAGAGCTACCTTCCTCTGTACAAAATGTTGAACTGAGGCTCTGTCTGTTCTCACAGGATGACAAAGGTCCCATTTACACAAGGGCAGGGCAGCTTGCCCCAGTGTTCTGGGTCCAATATTATTCCTGAATCAATATCAAGAAAACATTATCCTCTTGCTTATTGCTGTACATTATGCAAATTGGTTGTTGAAGTTCCTACATGGTGGTACTGTGTCTGGAAGGCTGGTTTGTGACACAGTGTGACACCAACAGCATGGCGTCCAATCCCACACCAGCTGAAATTACCATGAAGGTCTCTCCTTCTCAACCTCTCCCCTCACCCGAGGCATGGTGACCCTCCAGTTAAACCAGCACAAGTCATCTCCCTGTAATGTGAGAGCAGCTCTGTGGTCCTTTAGGAGTGTAGAAGATTAAGCGTTTACTGATTATAATTACAAAATGAACATCGTTAATTGCAATACACTTTGTTATGTCCTGAGACCTTCTAAGGTGCTATATAAATTCAAGTCACTCTTGTTTCCTTTTCCTCTCACACTGCACCTATCAACTAATCCCACTCTGTTTGAATCTTGAATGAGAAACTGTGCAACTTTCTCTTCCCCTGTCGACTGGAAATCAGTAACATGAGGAGCCAAGTGTGGATTTTGGAAGACTTTTCCCATGGAGCTTTACAGTGCAATGGAACAGCTCACTCGGAAAAGACACAGAGGGAAGGATATCATTCCGAACAATGTCAGGTCTGATGGTGTAACCTTCTTCATCCACCTCGGGAGAATTCTGTAAGACAACACATTTGCAAATGTAGCTGCAAATACCAGTTCAGAAGATGACAAGAGGTTTTCTCGGAGGGGTCATAAATTTGTGGAGCTCTCTTCCCCTGACAGCAGTGGAGGCTGGGTCAGTACAAGTTACGAAGGTGATGGAATACTCCCCACTTGCCTGGATGGGTGCAGCTCCAACAACACTCAAGAAGCTTGACACTGACCAGGACAAAGCAGCCCATTTGATTGGCACCACATTCACAAACATCCACTCTCTCCATCCCTGATGCTCAGTAGCAGCAGTGTGTACTATTTACAAGATGCACTGCAGAAATTCACCAAAGATCCTCAGACAGCACCTTCCAAACCCAAGACCACTTCCATCTAGAAGGACGAGGGCAGCAGATACATAGGAATACCACCCCCTGCAAATTCTCCTGCAAGCCACTCACCATCCTGACTTGGAAATATATCACCATTCCTTCAATGTCACTGAGTCAAAATCCTGGAATTCCCTCCCCAAGGGCATTGTGGGTCAACCCACAGCAGGTGGACTGCAGCGGTTAAAGGTGACAGTCCACCCCCACCTTCTCAAGGGCAATTAGGGATGGGCAATAAATACTGACCCAAGCAGTGATGCCCATATCCCATGACTGAGTCATAAAAAATAAAAGGTTAAATTAACTGATTTTTGATCAACAATGGAGTCCAGGGTTATGTGGGGCAGACAGGAAAGTGGAGTTAAGACATAATGACATCGATCACAATATCATTAAATAACAGTGGAGGCTGAATGGCCTAATCCTAATTCATATTCTAACCTTTCAATGCTTTAGAATATCAGTGTTCCATTCTGTTTATCCCGTGCCAAGCACACTTTGTCCCAGTATTATGTTAATGTGACATCTGAGCAGAGATGCATAAACAAACTACAGGGGATTTGCCCGGTGTGCAATGAGGTCAGACAATTAAAGCAGGTTTAAAATGTACATTGTGACACCCCCCCCACCCCCAGACAGACACTGAAGGAACATGACAGAGGAAGGAATTCCAACTATAACTCTCATAAACCAAGATGGTGGTCATCACAGTTTATTTACTTTGATGGCCCAACATTTAACTATCACATAAAACCTTACTACCTAGTCTCAAATATAAAAGATGGCCAGTTGGATAAGGCAACCCAGAACCATCCAAACAATTGTTGAATGACCACAGCAAGTCAATAGGTCTCACCGTTTAGCGATCACTCAAATGCACCATTACTCACAAGGAGCAAAATATTTTACTCCAACCCGCGGTCATAAAAAGAAAACGGTGGGAGCAAAATGTGGGAAGTCACCAGCTAAGTGTGGGCTAGCAACGGTTGAGAGTTTGTCTACTCACAATGGAGTCAGCATCCGGAGAGCCCCTACAAAAAGGAAAAAAAGGCAATTGTAATGAACAATGCAAATATTCTCAGAATAACAGACAGCATCACACTCGCTTCTGTGTACACCCCCCCCAACTCAGTTATTCCCATCCTGAGCTCTCACCCCACTCCATGGATAAGTCCCCAGGCTACCCCCTCACCCAGTGATTCCCCTCACGCTCTCAACTCACTCCATGATCACAGTTTGTCAGCTCTGAGTGTGATAAAGAATTCCCCAGATTTACTGCTCTCAGAAAAATTCCTGATCCTCTCTGTCGTAAAACATGTGGCCCCTTCCTCGGAGATGGTGTCCTCTGGTCTTCGACCCTCCCACAAGGGGAAACAACCTCTCTGCATCTCCCCTGTTAAGTCCCCTAAGACTCCTGTACGTCTCAATGAGGTCACCCTCTCATTCTTCTAAACTTCAATGAATACAGGCACCAAAAACAGAAATTGCTAGAGAAACTCAGCAGGTCTGGCAGCTTCGGAGGAGAAAAAGCAGAGTCAACTATTCAGAACCGTTCTGAAGAAGGGTCACTGGACCTGAAGCATTAACTCTGTTTCTCTCTCCACAGATGCTGCTAGACCTGTTGAGTTTTTCCAGTAATTTCTGTTTATGTTTCAGATTTCCAGCATTTATTCAGCTTTTTGTCATTTATATAAATGATCTGGATGTGAACTCAGAAGGTATGGTTAGTAAGTTTGCAAATGACAGTAAAATTGGAGGTGTAGTGGGCAGTGAAGGAGATTACCTCAGAGTACAATGGGATCTTGATCAGATGGGCCAATGGGCTGAGGAGTGGCTGATGGAGTTTAATTTAGATAAATGTGAGGTGCTGCATTTTGGAAAGGCAAATCAGGACAGGACTTATACACTTAATGGTAAGGTCCTGGGGAGTGTTGCTGAACAAGGAGACCTTGGAGTGTGGGTTCATAGTTCCTTGAAAGTGGAGTCCAAGCTAGACAGGATAGTGAAGGAGGCATTTGGAATGCTTGCCTTTATTGGTCCGTGCATTGAGTATAGGAGTTGGGAGGTCAAGTTACAGCTGTACAGGACATTGGTGAGGCCATGATTGGAATACTGCATGCAATTCTGGTCTCCTTGCTACAGGGAGGATGTTGTGAAACTTGAAAGGGTTCAAAGAAGATTTACAAGGATGTTACCAGGGTTGGAGGGTTTGAGCTACAGGGAGTGAATGAATAAACTGGGGCTATTTTCCCTGGAGTGTCGGTGGCTGAGGGGTGACCTTATAGGAGGTTTATAAAATCATGAGGGGCATGGATAGGGTAAATAGACAAGGTCTTTTCCTTGGGGTGGGGAGTCTAAAATTAGAGGCCATAGGTTGAAGGTGAGAGGGGAAAGATATAAAACAGAGGGTAGTGAGTGTATGGAATGAGCTGCCAGAAGAAGTGGTGGAGGCTGGTACAATTACAACATTTTTGAAAGACAACTGGACGGATACATGAATAGGAAGGGATTAGAGGGATATGGGCCAAATGCTAGCAAGTGGGACAAGATTTATTTAGGATATCTGGTCGGCATGGACAAGTTGGACTGAAGGGTCTGTTTCCATGCTATACAGCTCTATGGCTCTATTAGCAGTTCTCTGGGGGGTTTTTTTGCCCAATTTACCCAACCTCTCCTCATAAGACAGACCCTCCATACCTGGAAGTATTCTCTGGACTTACTCCAATGCCGGTACATCTTTCCTTAGATCAGGGCCCAGTATTTCAGCGTGTGGTCTGACTAGTACCTTGCATAATTATTGCAAGACTTTTCTATTTTTATACTCCATTCTCTTTGGGAACATAGACCAGTTGCTTTCCCTATTACCCTTTGAATTTGGACACTAGCTTTTCATGATTTATGTAGGAGGACTCCCAAACCCCACTGTACTGTCGCTTTCTGCAGTCTTCCTCCATTTAAATAATGTTCAGCTTCTTTCTTCATCCTGTCCAGGTGCATCATCCTCCATGTTTCGCAATCACATTCTATCTGCCATGTTTTTGCCCGCTCACATAACCAGCCTGTGTCCCTCTTTGTATCATTATCAACTTCCTGTTAACCCTTCTGATTTTTCCCCAAAGCTGATTTATTTGTCACATTGGCTAACAGATATCCAGGGATAGGGAGCAAACATGGGTAAATGGACCAGAAGTGCAGACAAACAGTTGCAGGAGGTGATTAAATTGGTGGGAAAATAGGTAGCAAATTCCCTCGAGAATGGGGTGCAGGTGGGGAAGTGAGAGGTATTAGCTTTTTGATTTTTAAGCAAAAGTTACATGATTATCATGAATTTCCTAAGTAGGAGATGGATTTGTCTTTAAAGAGGTGAGGCAAATGGACCGAGTGGCCTATCTCACTCTGTTTTTCAATCACTAATTCCCTTGGAGTTGGAGCTGGAACAATGGAAACTCACGTGGAATCGCTGTCCTTCTCCCTCTTGCCAAGTCCTGGGATCACAAAGGATTTCCGCTTGCTTTTCTTTGGAGCTGTTTCACAAGAGATAACGGATCGTAATTCCCATTACTCAGTGTTTCAACTGAACAAACTCCTTGACAGCCCACAGGCAGAAGCCTTAAACCGATAAGTAACACAAATTTCTGCCCTGATCAGCTCTGTGGTGCTTGAATCTCCAAGTGACTGTGTGCCCATGTGACACTGGCTCAAACCAGCACAGAGGATGGCACTGGCCTCCAGTTTGTGCCATTAACTTGAGCAGTGGTGCTCAACTAATCTCTGTTCGCTGTGCTGGGGAGAATGAGCTTTAAACCCTGATAAATCTCCACTGAGAACTCCTGGCCCAGCAGCATGTGGTTCTGGAAAAGCTGATCGAACAGGAGTGAGGGCAGGAGAGTAAAATTCTCAATCTAGTGGCGATCCCATGGATCTCATTACTGAGCCATGGCTGAGAAAGCTCAGAAGATAAAAGGTATTACTCTGCTCCAAGCATTAATGACAGTGAGCTGTACACAGGGTCTCTCCATGTAGCTCAGTCCCTGCTGGTGAGACAACAGATCTGTGAGAGTGTGTGTGTGTGTGTGTGAGAGAGCGTGGACAGTCAGTATCCTGGGCAACAGCAATACCAATGAGAAGCAGCTCACCTTCCAGCAGAACATCCGGGTTACATTCCTCAAAATCGATTGGCCCTGGAAACAAGAGGACGGAGGCAGGAGTCAGGCAGAGTCTCCCTGCAACACTCCCAAAACCCAGATTATCACTTTAACAGCCATTATATTGCTCAGCTCACTTCACTCACTACACCAACTTTCGGGTCAGGGTCTACACAATCCCCAATCATACCACCCCTCGGAGTGGGCAGCGAGGGGAACACACCCACATTACCTGGCTTCTCTTTGCCAGTCCCTTTGGTCAGGGCATACTTCTGGATCAGGTCCTGCACCTGAATATTCTCCACATTCTGTTTGAACTCTTCATGAACCTGAAATCAGAAATCACCAGAGATTTGCGAAGGCTCCTCCAACATCACCTTCCAAACCCACCACCTCTACTGTCTAGAAGGACAGCGGATGCATGGGTACACCACTATCCCTCCGAGCCACTCACCATCCTGACTGGGAAAGCACCGCTCATTCAGTGTTGCAGGGTCAAAATCCTGGAACTCCCTCCTTATCGGCATTGTGGGTGAGAATGTAACGGTTCAGAGGTCAGCTCACCAAACAGTATCCCAATTTTCCCAAATGCCCTAACTTACAGTTTTTAAAATCAAATTGGTGTGAAGATCCCTCACATTTTTGTTATCACCTCACTTCATTTTTTCTCCAGAGTTTGAGTCCATTTCACTCCATCCCCTGACTGCCTAATCATAGATTCCCTACTGTGCAGAAGGAGACCATTCAGCCCATTAAGTCTGCACCAACCGTCTGAAGACCCCACCCTATTCTGTTACCCCACATTTACTTACCATGGCTAACCCACCTAGCCTGTACATCCTTGGACTGTGGGAGGAAACTGGAGCACCCGGAGGAAACCTACGCAGACACAGGGAGAATGTGCAAACTCCACACAGACCGTCGCACAAGGGTGGAATCGACCCAGTGTTCCTGGTGCTGTGAGGCAGCAGTGCTAGCCACTGAGCCAACGTGCCGCATAGATAATAACGATCTGCACACAAACAGCTCTCCTTCATTTATTTACCATTTTCCCTTGAGTTTTTAAAAAATACAAACAGCATTGGAAACACCAGACAGTGACAATGCAATTAAGTGATTAGAATCAGGAGTAGGCCATTCAGTCCAGCAAACCCATTCCATCATTCAGTTCAATCATGGCTGATCTATAAAATATCCCTTTCTACTGGACTGTCATGTAATCCTCAACTGTTGCCATCTAAAACAGTCTGGAAGGATGGTCAAAACCTAATGGGACAAGGGAATTAGTAGTGGATTTATTAATTAAGAGTTAATTGAGTGATAATTGGTTGGATAAATATCATGAGCTAGCAATCAGTGGGTGAGTGTTATATGGAACATAATTAACTGAAATAGAGCTCTCACTAAAAACAGACTTGAACTCAGTTCAGAAACAGTCATCTTCTTCTAGTGTATAACACAAACCCCTTTACTCTACGAACATTTATCAATCTCAGAAGTAGGGTGGGATGGAGGTGTTGGAAGGAAGTGTTTTCTGACATCACCCGAAAAGCCTGGCTCAGATTTTAAGGTTCTCTCCCTTGTTATGGACTCCTGCCAGAGGGGAATTAATTTCACTCAAATTGAACCTCAACAACTCCTTTAATCATAAACCACCTCAGTTTGATTGCCCCTTAAATCTTGTAAGCTCAAGGAAGAACTATGAATCCCATCCACTCCAGAACTGATTAATAACATCTCTGAACAGACTGATTGGAAAATATCCACACTTTCAGGAAGACATACCCAGATATGCTAACTTCTCATCATTTTATTCTCATTTACATACAAAAACAACATTTCTAAATTACTAGAAAAGCTAAAGGTCTAGCAGCACCCGTGAAGAGAAATCAGAATTAACATTTTGGGTCCGGTGATCCTTCCTCAGAAGGACTATTTGAGGAAGGGTCACCGGACCCAAAACATCATCTCTAATTTCTCTTCACAGATGCTGCCAGACCTGCCGAGGTTTTCCAGCAACTTCAGTTTTGTTTCTGATTTACAGCATCCGTAATTTTTTCAGTTTTTACTTCTAAATTGTAGCTCAGACCGAGAGTGAGCTGCAGCTTGGAGACTCACCTGGCCCACCTGAACATGAGTATCTTCAATGGAGTGGCAGTATGACTTGATTAACCCCTTCATGTGTCTCAGGTGAATCTCTTCAACCTGCTGGAACTTCTGCAGAGTCAGAAATCAGAGGATTGGGATCTTGGAATGACAAAAACAAGGAGAGATCCTGCAGGATCCGGAGCAGAATCTGAAACCACAGTAACCCTTTCAGAGCTGGCTCGATATCACCCACTGAACCTCATTCTCAGAATCCACCACCCACCACCTCGTATCATTAAATGATTTTTATTTTCTCACGTACTTTTCAAACTTTACACTGTCTTGTAGATCTCAGGCAGTTTGTGGGGTTTCTAAATTCACCCCACCCCAAACTAAAATTACATTTTCTTTCTTGCATTTTCCATTCCCTCCATCTGTCTGGTCACAGTACAATCTCACCATGACAGAACCTGTGTCAGCGAAGTTCCTACTGTGGAGCTCCTAATCATTGCTCTAACAGCACATCCCAGCTCTCAGTCTAATAGCTCCTTTGGAAGAAATGTCTGTCCCGGAACTATTTCTCAAATGCAAGTAATGTATTTGAGTTCTCCCTCCTCACTCGATCATTCGAATGAGGTTGAGGGACATGGCCAGTTCCTGCAAACTCTGGTACAATGAAAGACAGGAGGAATCTTGTCCCAGGAACACCTTTTACTATCATTGATCCACCCATCTCACACATACACACAGCTCGAAACACATCTAACACTTCAACTTCACCAACTGCCCTCTCTAATCACTGTCACTTGCAGCAAGCTTGGTGACACTAGAGCAGATATGCAGGCCATTCGGCCTGACTAATCCATGCTGGTGTCTATGTACTTCTTGAACCTCCCCCCATCACAATCTTCTATTCCTTTCTTCCTCATGGCCTTCACTAGATATGTTGTAAACACATCGATACTATACTCTCTGTCGGAGCGTGCTCCACATTCCCATCATAATTCTTCCAAATACCTTTTTGGTTTTCTTGGGGATGATCTTCTATCCATGACCTCTCATTGTGGTCTCCACCCCCCCAGGAACCCACACAAGGAAACATTCTCTTAAACCACTCCAACACAACCCTTCCTCATTTTAAAGATCTTGATTAGATCACCCTTTAGAAAAGAAAAAAGCAAGCCAGCCTGTTTGTTTATCATTTCCTGATGTTAAACCTTCACATTTCTGTTTTTTTTTGTCTCTGTAAATCTGCTCTGTCCCCTAGCCAATGCCGCAATATCTTTTATAACACAGAGCAGAAGAGCACACATAGTCTAAATGTGATCTAACCAAGTTCGACATAAGTAAAGCTGTTCACATCTGTAGAAATAAAGCCTGGGGATAGTTCTTTGTAAAATAATCCTGGAAACTCCTGGTGCATTTTTCAGAAATTAATGTATCTGTACTTAAAGACCCTCAATTTCTTCTCCACGCCCAGATGCACACCTTCAAAGTAAAAAAAAGAATCTCCCTATACTTCTTACTCGTTCATATTTTTGGATTTCATTTACCAAACCCGTGGGAATTCTACAAGTTAATGAATGCATTCCTGTAATTGGTTACAGTTCTCCTCAGTATTAGCTACCCACCCCTCCCCCATCTTGATGTTATCTGCTCTAACCTGGGCAGCGTCTGCCATCTTCAGCTGGTAATCAGACCGAGTAGTACGATATTTCTTGATGCTCGCTTTGTACGATTCTGCGGCTTTCTTTGATTTGGCTTCAGCCTGTGAGGAAGAGCCAGGGCGAGTGAGTACTTGCTGGGAGTTAATGAGGACAAGACAAACTGTCCCATGCGCAAGGAGGAAGCTCGGAACACCCACTAGAGCAAGGTAGCTCATCAACAAACCAGACCTCACTTCAATATATATGTGTCTGTGTGTCCGAGTGTGTCTGTACCCCAGTGAGGTTTGGACACGGACACCCTGTACCCCAGTGAGAGTCGGTGTATGTGCGTGTGTGGGACCCCGTGCCCCAGTGACAGTCGGGGTGTGTGTGCGTGTGTGGGACCCCCTACCCCAGTGAGAGTCGGTGTGTGTGCGTGGGACCCTGTACCCCAGTGAGAGTCAGTGTGTGTGTGTGTGTGTGTGTGTGTGTGTGCGTGCTCGTACCCCGGTGAGAGTCAGTGTGTGGGAGCTCTATTGAAGTGGGAGTCATTTCCTGAGGAACCAAGACACATTGAGCCCTGAAATACTGGTACCTTATCAATCTCTTTCTGAGAAGCACCATCCTTTTTCAGTCTGTCCCACTCCAGCCATTTACTTTGATAATTGTCTTTGCATTTCTGCAGGAGCTGGCCACTGGATTGAACATTCTGCACAGCTTCCAGTGTCCCTGACACCTCCTCCTTCGTCTGGGGGTAATGGGAGAGAGAGATAGAGAGAGACAAAAGGAAATGATTTTGATAGGTCGCATCTCAGCTGAACTGGGAATTATACAAAATTCCATTGAGGCAGTAAGTGCAGTGTATTCCATCCAGCCAGAATATGGGACCTGGGAGATATTATATAGCCCAGGCCCGCTCCAGTCCCAAGCCCTGGACTGGTTGGATAAGGCTCTGAGCAGCCCACTCATTACCTTCCTGTGCATTTTGACCTGCTCCTCGTTGAACCGGTTCATTTCTTTGATCAAGTCGTTGAGTTTCCGCACCAACTCGAAATGACAAAGAGCCAATTTATCAGCCGAGGTCCGGAAGACCTCCCACATTGGAGCGAAAGTCCTGAAAGAGTCACAGTGTTACATCTCACTGGCTGTAGTTACAAGCCAAACTTAATCATTGGGAAGCACATCCTGCCTTCATGTCTCCATGTCCCCGAGATTCAGGCACATTCACTACAGCACATTGTGCACGGTGAATGCTGACCCAGCTCCAAACCCACATTGACCCCACTCCAACCCCACACTGGCTCTGCTCTGATCCTGCCCCAACCCCACACTGACCCTGTCCTGACACTGCTGCTCAATGTATGTGAGACTGAAAGGGTTAATGATTGAACACAGTAAGCACCGCCCACTGTGATGATGCTTTGGATTCTCTATCAGAGCAAGGATGGATAGACCAGAGCTTAGTGTGATCTTCTGTAGTAATGGAGGCCATATTTGTGTAACCTGTAAATTGTTATAACAGTGCAATAAACGCCCTATTTATTTACTCTAAAGACTCTTCTAGTTAGACCAGAGGGTGACAATTGTCATATACCAATTCAGTTTTGGAGGTACACACACACAGATGCAACATGATGAGCTGTGGTGTGCTGCAATGTCAACTCCCTGTTACAACTTGGTCAGCAGCAGTGATCAGTGCAATTTCTAAAGGAGGTCAATTCAGAGACGTTACACTTTACACCAAGGGAGGGGTAAAAAACATAATCTGATAACCCAGAAGGTACAGACACTGCCAAATGCTGATGACAGTGAACGCCATAAACATTCTAGTATCACTCAACACAGAAGAGGCAAAGAGAAAGCATTTCAGAGCTAACAGAACAGGAGAAACTTGCAGCTATAAGTTAGAGGGACAGGCTGCATTGCAGGTCAGCAGCTGTGGTCCCGGGTCCAGCTTGGGCCAGCAATCCAACTAGACAGTGAGGTTGGAGGGAGTCAGAGCAAAAAAAATGACAAAAACAAATAAAAATTGCATGCTTGAAAAGGGGAAGGTTAAAAATAAAGATATAGCTCTAATTGGATATTGCTGCCATAGCTGGAAGATCCGGGCTCCCACTGGAGCAAGCTAACCCATCGACAAAGTAGACTTCACTTCAATGTGGACCGCAGTAAGAGTGCGTGTGTGCGTGCGAGACCCCGTATCCCTGCGGGAGTTAAGAAGGATAAGGTGTACCTCACTCAGTAAGAATTCATCTCCCAGTTGCACACCTGAGAAGTGACATCTTGGTTTCACCAATGATTCAAAATCACAGAGAGAGAGAGAGAAGGAGAAATCCCAAAACATTCCAGAAATTGAAATAAGCAGCCCTACTACTTCCGCTCAGATCTTCATACAGAATGAATTAAAACAAAGAACTGCAGATGCTGACGATCTGGAACAAACTAAAACAGAAACTGCTGAAGTCCAGTTTCGAGTCCGATGGCTAGTTCTGAAAAAGGGTCACTGGACTCAAAATGTTGACTCTCTTTTCTTCCACAGATGCTTACAGACCTACTGAGTTTATCCAGCAATTTCTGTTTTTGTTTGTTATAGACAGAATGGAGTTCCACTGACACAGAGCGAAGAAACGATGCATACAACTCTGCAAGAAATACCACTAAAAATAAGGAGAGAGAAGACAAGTAACATGCAAAGTTCCAAGGGACCGCGCAATGGAAAACCATCTGCTACAGCAGGATCCACACTGACAGCTGTAAAGAATAGACTTATATCAGGACCGTCCTCTGTGAAAGAATTATAAAAAAGATTTAATGTTATCCAGTTCAAGAGGGAACTACAGGCCTCAATGTTGGGAAGACAAAATAATTCAATTATCGTCTATCCCATAAATTACCATCGTCCAATTCTGAAGAGATTGTTTTTTGGGGAAAGAGAGTGAAACCTCCAGATTATTTGCATTTGTAAATTGTGAGGAAAATTCATGATATATTTTTATTGCTTTTATTTAGAAACTCGGTTTCTAACATAGAAGAGTAATGTAGAGTTTAACTTTGATCTTTCTTTCTATACTGTGTGTGTTCAGAAGGGGTTAGACAGTTTCTGTTTCATTTTTAAGTTTGAGAATAGTGATGGGTTTATGGAACTTTGCTTGTTTATGTGCACATTAAGGAGGCAGTTAACTGCTTAGTCCAGTGTTGGAGGAAAACAGAAAGGTAGAAGAAAGCTGCTGTTGCTATCAACAAGAGTCCAATATCACAAAGACAGACACGGTTAGGTGCATGTTCAGAAAGAAAGGGTCTATCACAGTAGAAACTGCTGTTGATAACAGCCTCCAAAAGTAGCCAGAGATAGAGAAAGATCCTGGAGTTTCTTAGAAGCAAACTCCAGAAGCAGAAAGCTGTGGAAATCATGGGCTTAGCGACCCCACGGTAAAATAATAAGTGTGCGGTATTAGTAGGCTATTTAAGGGACTGAGGAAAATATCTTAAATAAAGAGAATAGCAGAGAGAATACAGAAATGTGATAAAATGTGATAAAAATAAATCAATTACAGCTGCACCAACTGACCAAAGAACTTTAGTGCGAGGCCAGTGACCCTTCACTGATTGGGTGCTTTCCTTGGATGGATAGAGTTGATTTATTTGTTAAGTACAGAAACCTAGTCAGTGTTCTCTCTCCACACAAATCCATCAGGGAGATTAATTTAAGGACTTTGCTAACTTTGAATATATGTTTAACTTTCATGACAATCGGGGAGTACCGAGGCTTGTGTATCAGTGCACTTTGGCAAGCGGGTCATGACATTTGTCTGGAATAAAGAAGGTGCCTGTAGGAGGCCAAACTGAGGCTATTGTGCTGCTAATTGTCTCTGTAGTAATGTAGGCCCTGTTCACGTAATCTGCAAATAGCTGCTGCAATGCAATAAACTTCCAATTGTTAACTCAACAAGACTTTTCTAGGGAGGCTGAAACATTGTCCATCCTCATCATTACTGTACTACTTTGGGTTTAAAGCAAACACTGACACTGCAGCTCAATCCATACTGACCACGCTTCAATCTTGAGCGACTTCCAGCTCCAACAATCCTCACTCAGCTCACTAAGTGGAAGCAGCTGTCAATGTTACCCCAGCCCCTCTAACGGTCTGAGAATCTGGGCACTTGGAAAATGGGAGAGTCAATTGGTTGAAGTGAATACAACATTGACATCTCAGCCTGAGAGAGGTGGTCAACTCTGAGCCAGGTAGAGGCAGCAATAGACTCCCATCTCATATGGCACAGGGGTCCTGACCGAAACATCAACTTTCCTGCTCCTCTGATGCTGCCTGGCCTGCTGCGTACTTCCAGCTCCACACCGTGTTATCACAAGGAAACTGGTATAATTTCACCTGACTGCAGCAAGAGAACTTACCCCAGTGAACTGTTGCTCACCACCTTTGCTAACTTGGACATTGATTTTGAATAGGATTCTTCAATCAGAGCCCTGCAAAATGAGACAGCAACGTGTAAACACTGAAAATACAAAAGAAAAATACTGGAGACCGGAAACTTAACAGCTAATTATTTTTTTAAAAAGGAGATTCTAATCTCCTGGGTTTTATTATTTTTGCACAGTTCAATGACTGTGGCTGGCCAGCTCAGAATTAGTCACCTGAACCGAGGAGATTCTCAGCTCCTGGTTAGATTTTGTTTTTGTGAGAATGTGGAGGTGCGAGACTCCATGAAAACACCAGGGGTGTAAATAACTTTATTGATAGTCCACCACCGGGAAAAACACCCAAGTGACCAAGGAATCATTAGCAAGCAGAGCCCCTGGGGGCAATGTCTATGTGAACAAAAAGGTGCCAGGGAGGGTAGGGAACAGGACGGGAAAATAAAGCACTCCACAGCAGCGCAGTGCCCACCTCGCCTGAAAGATAGAGGGTATCGGTGGGCACCGCATGCTCCTTCTCCAGGGACACTCGGGCCTGAATGTAGCCACGGAAAAGGGGCAGGTAGTCAGCCATAATGACCCCCTCCATGGCCCGCTGCCTGGACCTGTTAATGGGCAACTTTACAGTTAATTAGCAAAGACAATGATCTTAAATGAGCCCTGATGCAGATTGAACCCAGACAATCAATCCACCCACGTCAACCAAGTGACAGTCTACACAGTCAGCATTGCAGAGCCCAGCTCACTCCATGTTCAACTCTCACTGCACCCACCCCCGCACACCCGCCACCCCCACCACCACCTTTGGGGGTTGGGGGGGGGGGGGCCCCCCCAACATGCCTTTGCCCCCCCCCCCAGGGTTGGCAGGAGGGCCATACCCACTGACTCCCTCTACGTTGCAGGGTCCCAGGGGGTTAATCCTGATGAAGGAAATCTTGCAGCGTTTATGGGATGTGAGAACGTGAAAGCATTGTGGGATCTTCACTGCCTCTGCCTCTCAGCCCCATCCCTCAAGGAAATCGGAGCTATCAACGCACACTGAAGCTGACAGGGTTTAACACGAACAAAACATATGGCAACTCCCAGAGTGGGGGCACCAGAGTAGGAAGAAGCAGGGACTATGCTCACCTTTCTCTCACAAAGTCAGCCAGCTCTTTGACAGAAATCTGTCCATGTTTCATGTTGTGGTAAAGGACGTCAAAGCCATTGTTTTTCTCCCCCTGTTAGAGACAAGGAGAGGAGGATTAGTAAAGCTCCTGACTGCCCATAATAATCCCCAACCCACACTGAACAAGAAAAGACGACCAACTCAACAATCCCAGGGCTGTTTAAATCAGGGCGAGACCTCCTCTCACCCGCCAGAGGGTAGTCATTCTCGGCCCCGTGGCACTGCCAAATGACCAGAGTTTGTGTTTTGTAACATTGTGCTCTGACTGAGAGAGTCTGATTGTGGGTAACAGGCCCTGCCCAAAAGCTCAGGTGAAGTAAACAGGTTTTGTCGAGTTGGATGCAAAAGGCAGACAGAGAGATGGGCATAAGATTTCCAACACAGAAGCCCCATGTTATTGCAGACGAACAGCGAGTTCTGCCGTCATAGAAACCACAGGTTCTGGGTTGCAACCTGAGCTGGCAATCTCAGCTCTCACACAACGAAACAAAAACAGAAATTGCTGGAAAATCTCAGTGGGTCTGGCAGCACCCGCGGAGAGAAATCAGAATTAATGTTTTGGGTCCAATGACCCTTCTTCAGATCCCGAAACATTATCTCTGATTTCTCCCCGCGGGTGCTGACACACCTACTGAGATTTTTCTGCAATTTCTATTTTTGTTTCAAATTTCCAGCGTCCACAGTTCTTTCCATTTTCTTGCCCAGCTCTCCAAACCAGTTACCCATTAGGCAGCACCAGTAAGTGCCCACAGATTGGCATCTCCCAGGTTTTGTTGTTGCTTGTGCTGGTGGAACACTTTTAACCAAGTCGTTCATCAGCAGTTATTGTTCACAATTAGAATCAAATTTACATTCATAAAGCACCTTCCCCACACCCCCACCAGGAGTCCCAAATTGCTTACAGCCAATAGAACACATCTGAAATGTGGCAGCTGCTGTACTAAGAAACATGGCTTCCAAATTGTACACAGCAAGATCCAATGGTCAGCAATGAGATATTAGGGTGTAGGGAACTGAAATGCTTAATGTTGATGTGTGCATTAAACAGCACCCAATACAATGATATCACATGGACTTGGTTGGGAGTGACGGTGCTGACCAGTTTTGGATCTCGAGGGAGTAAGATCCAACATTCAGTCTTCCTCTCGCTCTCAATGTGACTTGTACTTGATGCCATCATTCAATAAATTATCTCTTGTCTTAAACAAAGAGCTTCTGTGTATTAGATCACCAGCTGGTTTTCCTCCGTCACACTAGATCAAACAGACCTAGTAGATTATTTTTTAAAAATTCATTTATGAATGAGGGCATCTCGGGCTAGGCCAGCATTTATTGCCCATCTGGAATTGCCCAGAGGGTAGTCAACCACATTGTTGTGGGTCTGGAGTCACATGTAGGCCAGACCAGGTGAGGATGGCAGTTTCCTTCCCTGAAGGACCAGATAGGTTTTTCCAATAATCAAAAATGGTCATCATTAGACTCTTGATCCTAGATTTTTGGTGAATTAAATTTTATTGGAAGTCATGGTGGAACATGTTCTTGAGATCCAGTTTCATGACCTCTGGATGAACTGTCCAGTGATAATACTACTAGATCATCACCTCCCCAGCAAGCCTGGCAAATCCTGACCAGGAAAGAGGACTTTGTCCAGGGCAGCAAATCCACCAGATGGATCTTCCAACACCATCTACCATGGTGCAGACCTGTTTTACAACACTGACCGGAATGATTTGCTGTAGCTAGCAGGGTATACATTAAACAAGGCAACAACTAAAATGCAACGTGGAAACATGTGAAGTTATGCACTTTGGTAGGAAGAATAGAGGCATAGATTATTTTCTAAATGGGAAAACACTTTGGAAATTTGAAGCACAAAGGAACTTGTTCAAAATTCTCTTAAAGGTTAACATGTAGGTTCAGTTGGCAGTTGGGAAGGCACATATAATGTGAGCATGCATTTCAAGACAGCTAAGTGGCAAGAAAAGGGATATACCACTGAGGCTATACAAGGCTCTGGTCACATTTGGAATATTGTGAGCAGTTTCGGGCCTTGTATCTAAAGAAAGCTATGCTGGCATTGGAGGGGATCCAGAGAAGGTTCACAAGAATGATCCCAGGGATGAAGGGCTTGTCATATGAGGATTGGTTGAGGACTCTAGGTCTGTACTTGGAGTTTAGAAGGATGAGGGGTGGGGGGGATCTCACTGAAGCTTACAGAATACCAAGAGGCCTGGATAGAGTGGATGTAGAGAAGAGATTTCCACTGGTAGGAGAGACTAGGACCTGAGGGCACTGCCTTAGAGTGAAGGGACGACCCTTTAGAACTGAGATGAGGTGGATTTTCTTCAGCCAGAGGGTGGTTAATCTGTGGAACTCATTTCCACACAGGGCTATGGAGGCCAAGGCATTGAGTGTATTCAAGACCGAGATAGATAGGTTCTGGATTACTAAGGGGATCAAGGATTACAGGGAGAAGGCAGGGGAATGGGTTTGAGAAACATATCGACCATGATTGACTGGTAGAGCAGACTCGATGGGCTGAAAAGCCTAATTCTGCTCTTGTGGTCTGATGGTCAAGGTGCATTCAAAGGGATCATTTCGGTTACTGATATTTTCTGATCCTATCTTTTTAGCTCCAATACTGAGGGTCTATGGACCTTATGGTGTAGTTGCAGTTCTTGTTTTGTTTTATTAAAAATCACAAGAAAAAATTACCACAAAACTCACTTCCTCCCAGGTGCAGAGACCCAGATTAAGGAAATCACAACTGTGCACGCCTCTATTTTTAACCTTTCAGTCAGAGTCTTGTTTTCTGCTTTGGTAAAAAAAATACTTACTATAAATTGGGGATAGCAAGAACTGTAAATGTTGGAGTCAGAGACAACATTGCATGGAGCTGGAGGAACACAGCAGGCCAGGCAGCATCAGAGCAGCAGGAAAGTTGATATTTTCAGAACTTCAGAATTTTTTTTTCTGAAGAAGGGCCCCGACCTGAAACATCAGCTTTCCTGCTCCTCTGATGCTGCCTGGCCTGCTGTGTTCATCCAGCTCCACATTGTGTTGTGACTTACCATAAATTGTTGGGAACTTGGCTTTGGGTGACTGCCTGGGAACTGGATTCAAATTCTGCTCATAATGGAAAGGGCTTTCTTTTCCTGGCCATGCTGATAACATGGGTTTACAATCTCAGGCATCAGTGGAGACAGAGGCTGCAGTCTGGACAATGGTGCATGCAACATGCAGATACATTGGCAACGAGGCCTACTCCTGCCTTACTGCCTAGATCTGAATTTCCCTGCTTTGCCAACACACAGGGTGTGGGCCTATCTCCTTGATCCCCCGCTCACTCATGCTTATGTGTTAGAATGAATGTTGATAAGTTGCAGTTACACACCCTCTTTAATGCAGTAAATATCCCAGGGAGTTTTACAGGGTGACTATCAAGGCAAATTTGACACGGAGGCACAAATGGCAATATAGGGAGACAACAAAAAGCTTCCTCAAAGAAGTAGCTGAAAGGAGGAGACAGAGGTGGAAAAGATTAAGGAGGAAATCCCGGAGCTTGGGCTCAGCCAGTTGAAAGCACAGTTGCCAATGGTGAGAGATAGAAAATGGAGATGCACAAGAGGCGAGAATTGGAGAACTGCAGACATCTTAGTGGGTTATGGACTCAAATATGTTAAGAGGTAGCGAGGGGTAAGGGCATGAAGCACAAGACGACAAACAGGAGAGGTTTAAAAACTGAAGCATTGCTGGACCAGCTGTCAATATAACCGAATAAGCTCAAAAGGAATGGGGAAATGGGGCTTGGTGCGAACTAAGATATAACAGGCAGACTTGGATCCACTGACATTTATGGGAGGAGGGAAACAAAAAGCAAGCCAGGAGACCATAAGATATAGGAGCAGAACTAGGCCATTCAGCCTATAGAGCCTGCTCCACCATTTGATCGTGGCTGATATGTTTCTCAACCCCATTCTCCTGCCTGAGGTTCGGTGTGGACTTGTTGGGCCGAAGGGCCTGTTTCCACACTGTAGGGATTCTGTGATTCTATGATTTACCCAGTAAGCCCTGATCCCGTTACTAATCAAGACCCTATCTATCTCTGTCTTACACTCAACAGCTTGGCCTCCACAGCCCTCTGCGGCAATGAGTTCCACATATTCACCACCTACTGCCTCAAGAAATTCCCAACTCAGTTTTAAAGGGCCATCCCTTCACTCAGTGTCCGAGTCCTAGTGTCTCCTACTAGTGTAAACATCAGCTCCACATCCACCCTATCCAGGCCTCTCAGTATTCTGTAAGTTTCAATGAGATTCCCTTTTATCCTTCTAAACCATATAGAGTACAGACCCAGAGTCCTCAACCTTTCCTAATATGATAAGTGTCAGGAGCAGACTAGATCCTAACAACATTATGGGATCCTCCTGCACCAGATGGACTGAGAGCAGTTCAGGATGGGTAACATCTGCTGAGGTCCCAACACTCACCCGTCTGGAAATAAAAATGATGACCTGACGCAGGGACAGACATTAGTAACATTACAAAGTGGGTATTCTTCTTGATAGAGGTGGCTGAAGTTTAGCTCAAGGTCAAACAGGCAGCAAGGCTGTGAATGGTCCTGGTCGAGAGACAACCCAGGGAATTGGTGGCATCACTTAATGCAGACCCTCAGCTGGTGCATTGAGGAACCAAAGAGACAGCTGTTCAATCTGCAATACTTCAATATGCTTCTCATTCTAGTCTTATTGCTGATGACTAGAACGGGCATGACCCTCAAGGCGGATCTAACCAAAATGCTGTCTGGTTTGAGCAGAGATTGTAGTCTCCTGTTTTAACATTAGTTAGGTTTTACAGAGGCATAGTCTAAAAGGCTATGGGTTATGGGCCAAGTGCTGGGAAATGGGAGTGGAATAGATGAATGTTTGATGACCAACACAGACATGATGGGCCGAAGGGTCTCTTTCCATGCTGTAACAATTCTATAACTTTGTGACTTTCCAGTTGTCCTTTGATAATATTAACATGATATGTGAAAGTGCCCATATAGAT